TCCGTCCCCGCGGCGCCGGGACCACCGCGGCCGCCGGGCACGGCCCCGAGCTGCTCCTCGAGTTCAGCGAGAGCCGAGTGCGAGCGGAACCAAGACAAGCTTTTTCTTTCTTTTTTTAAGTTCCAGGAACTAAACTCGCCATTTATTTTCTGTCCACAGATTGCTTTAAATAAACATGAAGCCGGTCTTATAATTTGCTTGGCTTTGGTTTTTTTTAACATCATTTTATCAGAAGCACAGTCCTCGGCATCTCGGTGACGAGCTCCTTGGCCGGTCCCTACCCCCATCGAGCGGCGCACTCGGGACAGACCGAAACCGAGTGTGGTCCACCGGTTAAACCCCCTCTCCGATAAACCAGGCCTGCTCCCAAGTCCAGCGCTCCTCCTGCGATAGAAGCCAGGCTTAAGCCGTGGCGTGGCCTCCTCTAGCGTCTGCTCTAGCGGTTGAATCCACCTCCACATTTGAGAAACTTATCGACAAAATCAAAACATTGAGAGTTTTATCGCTACCGAACATATTTACAGTTCTCAGCACGCACACAGCTAAATCCAAATGGGGATGGGGATGCCGAAGGTGAGCACGTGGGAACTATCGTATTTGTCCTTGACGTTTTCAGGAACAAAACATAAAATTCAGATTCTCGTATCTCACTATTTCATTTAAATGAGACTTTTTTTTTTTTTTTCAACCACACAGGATTTTATAAACAAAAAGAACCGATACAATGTATTAAAACACATAATAACAAGAGTCTACATGTAAAAATATAACTTTTACATACACAATTCCAAAATAATGATACGTTTGCCGTTTGTTGCATAAAATTTACAAATGTATTTTTTTCCGTTACTCTAGAACTGGCAAAACAGGAGAACAGATGGAACATTTAGACCGTTTGATGGATTTATGGCATTTATTCAGTGTTGATAGGTGGAAAATCTACTCGAACAGGGAGATTTTATTTCAAATACATGCCAGGTTGGTGTGGCTGTAAAAATAGAAACTGGAATTAGAGACAAAAGGATGCTGACGGATACTTAACTAGGAGCACTATCCGTTCATGGTACTGTACACCAAAGTCGATCGATTCTTAAGATTCACTATGGAAGTTGGTTCAGTTGTGCCCAGACTTCAAAGCTAGTTATCGGATGAGCTGCTGTGCCATCGGTTGAGCTATGTTACTCTTCAATATGTTAAGTAAAAACTTCATTCGTACTGGCCGGAGAAATCCTGTACTACCACCCCTCCTCGAGAAAGTGCAACTTAATGCTTTAGGACTCATAAGGCTCGTTATAATGCTGCGTGATGACCGGCATTGGCGTTTCGCAAAGAAAGGAGGAGGCAGCGAGTGGTCTACACTTAAATAATCCACTTAAAAACGAGAGAAGAACAACAGAAAAAAGAAGTCGATCAAATCTGCCACACTACTTGCGATTTCCCCCGCGATGGGTG